TTTTTTTTTTTTTTTTTTTCTCAAAAACTAATGAACAAGCCAGAAAGGCTGGATTGGACGTTTTTCATCTGATTTAGATATCAATTCCTAGTTACAACTTATTCTTTTCTCCTCATGCTGTGAGCCCCATACAGAAGACACAAACCACCCAGAGATGATTCAATAAAAGGAAGGTCTGTGCTCTATGATGCTGGCCCTCAGATCCTGGCTCGGAAGAAGGATGGGGAATACCTCTCAGACTCCACTCAGAGGTTAATGATCAATGTCCCCATTGCTTGGTGTCCTAACAGTGTCAGGTCTCCCTTGTGAGTCAGTGCTTAGTAGTGGGAAAGGATCTTTCTCATTCATTGCCAGAGTTGTGACAGGTGCTGGGTTGCATAACCTCCACCACTAGGCTGTTACTGGAGACTAACTGGGTGTGGACCTTGCCCCACTCATTAGAATTGACCAGTTCTTTTAATGTTTATCACAAGAAGTCCACCATGCCTTTAATATCTAAACACAATATCTGTCCCTACTGCACCAGAACCAAATTAGATCCTTTTGCTTGTGACTCAGGGTTTGGAGACTACAATGTGCTTCGCAGCAGTGTGGTTGTTGTTCAAAGGGAAGAGCTCCTAATTTCAAGGTAACATCTGCTTGGAGATCCTGGTGCCACGAGAGTAATTTTCCAGAAAGCCATTAAAAATGCAAGTGGTCTCTAGACTGCAACTTATTTTGTGCTCATTTCAATGAGCCAGAATCATCTTTTTTTTTTTTTTTTTTTTTTTGTATGTTCAACAGCACTGGTCAGGGAGGCAGGTAAACACTAAATTGGTAGGTGATTACTCTGAAGAATACATCTATACCATGAAGGTAAGTTGATACATTTATGAAATATTATTTTGTGATGGTTCATTTAAAATAGAAAAAAATAAATTTTTTTTGCATTTTTAATAGTGCTAATTTCATCCCCATGACAATTTCTTTAACTATGAAGAATATTTCCTTGTACATCTCTTCACAGAACAACAAACTAATTAAAGCACAAAGTCATCCGACTCTAAAAAGGGAAAATTCAAAATACATTTCAGGATCCAGGATCTTTTTGGCTGCATGTGAATTAACTATTTTTAGCCTAAACATAAAGCTTATATTTAGAAGCTGAAATCAGCTGATATAGCCTTATTTATGGTGTGACCCAACTGAGAGATGGAATTGGCTGTGATCATTGACTCAGATACATAAATTTTCAGTTTCCAAATACAAGGGATGCCTGCTGACCAAAGGTTACATTTGTGGGAACTTTCAGGTCTCACAAAAGATTTTCCCTTTTTAATGTTTTAAAATGTGAAGCAGAGTTAAATTAAATTTGTTTTAGGAAAGGGAAAAATGGAAATACTTCTTTTAATTCAATAGCTAACTTCTCTTTAAAATAATATTTACATCTTATCCTGATTACTAACGGGAGCTTAGAAATCATTTTAAAAAATTCATTAAGTATCTTATTCACATTTCTCTAAATATTGCCTTAATCTGCTTTCATATATGTTTGGAAAATTTAAAATGAGTTTATCAGGAAGTCTTAAGGAAAAATTATTGATATGATTTTATTTCTTTGGTAAAGATAATGTAACTTTTGTAAGTACCAATGTAATTGGTAACTGATCTAAATATGATAAAATAAGATGATTTCTTCCCAGTAATGATCCATTCTCTTATTTTTATTTTATCTTATTCTTAGTTGCAGGGGAGCTTAGATGCTTTCACAGCCATGAGGACTCAACATTCGTCATCTGAATGGAAAGACATAATCTCAAACTCCTTTTTGAAGCCAGGCAATGTTATCCTAGTCTAAATTGATCCTAACTAAGGATAATCAAAGGATTTTGCATTTTTCTCATGAAAACCATATATACTGTAAGGAAAAGAGAAAGGAGACCAAGAGTCTAAAGACCTGGTAGAAAATAGTAAAAAGGTAAGAATTTGCTAAAACCATGAGCTCACTCTTTTTTTTTTTTTTTTGATACTTTTAATTAGTTTGTAGAATTCAATACCTTTACAACTTAGAGTAATGGGAAAACCTCTCCACTTTATTGAAAAAGATTATTTCTAGTTAATTATACATTATGGATCTTTACTTTTTTGAAAAACATCTAATTTTAAAATATTATTTTCTAGTAATTTTCCTTGGACTTCATTTTCCTAACTATGTATTTCTTTAGCTTCAATATGACAAGTTTATTTTGTTTCTGTGATTTGGAGGATGCTGGATTATACTGCTCTGCCAGTTACCAGTTGAGTGAAATGGGAATAATAACACAAAACTCATAGAATTGCTGAAAGGATTACTGGTATATTTGTCATATAGGTCTCGTTAGCATGTACAGTATGGGGCAGACAATAATAAGTAAGTATTAATTGGAAAAATGTCCTTTAATAAGTATTATTTGGAAAACCTCATCATGAAATCTTTGAACATTTATGTTCACAAAGGATATGAACCAAGAGCTCATAATTAGAGGGTAGAGACAAACCTTGAGCCAGGTCATACTTATTACCTCCCAACTACATTTACAGGCCCAAAGATATGAAGCTAAATAGAAAGTTAAGATAAATAAAATAAACAATACATACACAGATTTTTATTCTTCACTTCCTAAAACATAGTTTTATTTGGTCACACATTCATCCTCTCCCAAATGTCTCTGTAAGATGGATGCTATCTACTATTGACTGGATATGGCTGGTGGAATGTGAGTTTAAAATTCTCCTTTCCTGCAAACTAACTGCAGAGGAAGAAATCACCAATACCAAACTGAGAACATGTCAGTATCTCATGAGAACACCTCACAGACCACTGAGCAGCATGCTGAGAGGCATGGTGTTTGTTGATGTTGGCTTTGTGCCACTCTATCTGCTGCCATTGGCCTTCTGTTTTGACAAACACCTAACAGTCAGAGGGATGTTCTGACTCATCAGATCTTGGACAGGACATCACATGGCACAGGTAACAGTTTGATGAGTATGGTTCCTACTGAGCCTTTTTTGTTTTCTCCAGAAGATTTGTTTTATCATTAAGGAAAACAGGGAAATGGAGCAGGAAAAACCATGACATCAGAACCCTTTTTTCTAGCCCTAATTCTGCCCCAAATTCTCAGTATACAAGCTGTGAGTTAATTTTATGTGTCAACTTCACTGGATCAGACAGTGCCTAAACATTTGGTCAAACATCATTCTGGGTGTGTCTGTGAGGGTGTTTGTGGATCTGATTCATGTTTGAATCAGCAAACTGAACAGACTGAAATAGTTTGCCCTCCCCAACCTGGATGCGTAGCATCAATCAGTTGAAGACCTGAATAGAACAAGAGGTTGAAAGAAGGAGAAATCACTCTTTCTGCCTGACTGCTAAAGCTCAGATACTAGTCTTCAACTGTCCTCAGGCTCCTGATTTGAAGGCCTTTGGACTAGGGGTCAAACTAGATCAGTGTCTTTCTGGTCTTCCCAGCTTGCAGAGAGAAGATCATGGGACTTCTTGGCATCTATGGTCATGCAAACCAATTCTTTATAATAAATCTCTTATATATATTATATACATAGATACATGATACATATCCATATGATGTCAGTGTGATATATATTTACATTCATATATCTGTCTCCTATTTGTTTTTTCTGGAGAACCCTGGCTAGTGTGTGCACACATGCATGTGTGTGTGTGTGTGTGTACACAAAGCCTCATGTGCCACTTAATGATGGGATGTGATCTGATCAATACATCGTTAGGTAATTTCCTCATCAAGTGAACATCACAGAGTGCCCTTACATAGTCCTAGATGGTATAGTCTATTGTACACCTAGACTGTATGGCATAGCTATTACTCCTGGGCTATAAACCTACATGGCAAGCTATAGTACTATAGCTATAACTATAACACAATGTAAGCATTGGTGTATCTAAGCATAGGAAACATATAGTACTAATACATTATAAAATATAAAAAATGATACACGTACCATGAATGAGCTTACAGGTCAGCCATTGCTCTAAGTGAGTCGATAAGTGGTGAGTGAATGTGAAGGCCCTGGACATCACTATGTGCTTAAATTTATTTTAGAGATATTTCTTTCTTCAATAATGAACCTTTAACCTTATCTTACTATAACTTTTCTACATTATTCATTTTAAAATTATTTCAACTTCTTGATTCTTTTGTAATAACACTTAGCTTAAAACACAAACACATTGTGCAGCTGTACAAAATTATATTTTTATATTCTCATTCTATAAGCTTTTCTCTAGTTCTAATTTTTAACATTTTAACTTTTTAAACATTTTTATCAAAAATAAGGTACACCCATGGGATCTGGATCATCAGTATCACTGTCTCCTACATATACCTTGTCCCATGGGAAGGTCTCAGGGGCAATAACGTCCACAGAGCTACCATATCTGTGATAACAGTGCCTTCTCTGGATACTTACTTATGAAGGAGTGCCTGAGGCTGTTTTATAGTTAACTATTTTTTTCTTTTTTAGCTTCTGATGTTAGGTTGTTTATTTATTTTTAATTTTTATTTTTTTGCCATTGTATTTAAGATTTTATTTTAATGTACAATTTTCTTCTTTTTTTCTGGGTTAATATGAGGGTACATATGATTCGGTTACATTATTTGCATTTGTAAGATAAAGTCCAGAGTCTGAATTGTAGTTGAGTCCTTCACCCAGGAAGTTTGTCACACACATCTATATTGTATGTTATAGGAGGGAACTTACCAAGTCAACTCCCTAATTCTTTAATTTAATGGTGTCTTCCTTTTGTGTGGGTCTGTCATTTATGGTCCTATTTTCTACTGTTTTCGTACTGAGTATATGGAATGCTTGCTTTTCCATTCTTAAGATACTTCACTTAGGAGAATGTTCTCCAAATCCATTCAGGTAAATATAGGTAAATATAAAGATGCAATTTTTTTTAACATTCCTTTGTTACCTAAATAAAAGTAAATATAAAGATGCAATGCATTCCTAAACACTGCATTCCTATGTTACCTAAATATAGGTAAATATAAAGATGCAATTTATTTTTTTACATATACATGAGTTTATTAGGTTTCTACTTTTTGCCTTCACAAAATTTAAAAAGGCTTAAAATTTAATAACAAAAACAATGTTTAAGATAAGGACTAAAAACAAAAACCTCATAAAGAATGAATGAAGATAAATACATTCAGAACAGTTAACTATTCAGTTAACTATTTTTTTTTTTTTGCAGTTTTTGGCCAGGGCTGGGTTTGTATCTGCCACCTCTGGCATGTGGGGCTGGTGTCCCACTTCTTTGAGCCACAGGCACTGCCTCAGTTAACTATTTTTTAATATAAGGTCTGATGATTAAGTTCAAGAACTTGCTAATATGTTCTTACACTGGCAGCACTATACAAACAACTCAGGACGGTTTGACAACTTTGGTATATCAGTGTCTCACATCTCCATTTGTGATGATGTGAGATGGTGTCTTGCTAAGTGAGTCATTATTATTGCATGTTTTTGTGTGCTGTGTTGAGAATATCAGAGCTTGTAGTAGAGCAATGAACAAACATTTGTAAATTTCTTATTAAACTTGGCAGTAATAGACATGAAACAAGGAACACGTTAGTCCAAGTTTACTGAGATAATGCCATTAAGAAAACAGCAGAAAAAAAAAAAGAAAACAGCAGAGTACAAATGGATTAAATATTTTTCTGAGGGGAGAGAAAGTGTTACTGATGAAGAGAGGTCAGGGCAGCCAGTAGTGAGCAGAATTTATAAAAATATTTCAACAATTCATGAGATTGTATGTTAAAATCATTGGTTGACAGCATGAAGCATAGGATACATAGTAAACATGGATAAATGGTAAAATCTTAATTGAAAATCTTGGCCAACAACTCATGGGTCTTACATCATGAAGATGCACCAGCTCACATGGCACTGACTATGAGGGAGTTCTCAGCCAGTGAACAAATAACTGTATTGGAACATCCTCCCTCCTCGCTTGATCTAGACCTCTATGACTTTTTTCTTTACCTGAGGATAAAAAAAAAATATTGAAAGGAAGACATTTTGATAACATTTTGGACATCAAGGGTAATATATCAACAGCTTCATGGCCATTCCAGAAAAAGAGTTCCAAAACTGCTTTGAAGGCACTGTTGTCAGTGCACAGCTTCCCAAGGGGAGTATTTTGAAGGTGACCATAGTGATATTCAACAACAAGGTAGGTAGCACTTTTTCTAGGATGAGTACTTGAACCAACTGTCAAAGGTACTATATGGTCTATCTTTGTCTAAGACATCATTATGCATCCCATGGCTGTCCATGCTAACACCACTTCCAAAACATATATCCTGGATTCTTCCACTTCTCTTCATGGGTACTCTGTCTCCTTATCACAGCCATTTGTTCCTATCTTCATTCACCTGGATAAAAGCTGGTTGATTTCTTTCCTTTCCTGACTCTCTGTATTCTATATATTGTTTATATCCACAGTACCCTGGGTTATCATTCATAGGTGAAAATCAATTCACAACTTTTTCCTGTTAAAAACCACCCTACCTCCTTGCATGGCTCACACTGTTTCTGCACACTCTGCCCCTCCAGCTTCATTCCATCGCGGGACTCAGGTGTCTGTGCCTGCACACTTTTGTATTTTTGCCATAGGGCTTCACATTAGAAGGTGTTCCCAGTCTGAGAAACTCCATGATTCTTGTGCCACAGGCTTCTGACTGACATTCAGATCTTAGAGACCACTCTCCAGACAGTCTCAACAGCTGCTCTGTTTCTCTTGTTCATTCCACAGTATTCCTTGCTTTGCATATGTCACTGAGTCCTATTTTTTTAATCTGTGAATAATTTTTGATGTATTAATGAATTTGCTTCATTTCTGTCTGGCTCTTGATGATATATATTCCCTGAGAGTATGAATAACTCATTCAACACTATTTCTTTGGTGTTAGATACAGAGGAGTGCCTAATAAAAAGAAATCATCCAAAATATTTATTGAATTAAGAAATGTGAGACATTTATTTGAGCAGCATGCATCAAGGCAATTCAGGAAAAAATACTCAATTTACATATTAAATCTACCTTAATTATTTACTCCTTGATACACTATAATTAAAATAATTTTTGTAATAAACCTGATCACAAACACACTTTCAAATAAAAGGAAAGTAAATAACAGTACTTCATTGTGTGACAGCTTTAAATACTTTAAGATCTCACTTTTATCAGTCTGGGCTGCTATACCAAATTATCATACACTGAGTGGCTTATAAACAACAGAAATGTATTTTTCCCTATTTTAGAGGTTTAGAGTTAAAGATCAAGAGTACATCAGATAGATTTGGCATCTGGTGAGTGTCTGATTCCTGTTTCATATAAGCTGTCTTTTCCCAGTGTGTTCAGACAGGGGAAGGGCAAGGGAGTTTTCTGAGGCTTCTCTTATAAGGGCACTAATCCTACCCATGAGAGTTCCACCCTCATGAGCTAATCACCTCCTTGAAGGCTCAACTCCAATTACCATTACATTGGGAGTTAGGTTTCATCATATACACTCTGGGAAAAATATAAACATATGGTCTATAGCATATCCTTTATAACATCAACAAAATGAAACAGGATGAAACAATTCTCATGAGGAACACACAGCCTTCTGGAACTTATCTGTGGGTTTCAATTTTTTAATGTACTGGACAAGTGTTGAGTCAGTCATCTCTGGGTGTGTGGATTGAGTTGAGTTTCTGGATTTAGGAATTTGAGGTTAGTAGTCATTCAAGGAACTTCTGATTTTATACCTGAAAGACCTGGATTGAGCAAAGCTATCTTATCCTCCAATATCTTGATGGAATTGTCTGAGTGCAAAGTCATTTTTCTCAAGTGCTCGATTGTAGAGTTTGGAGCTGTCAATAACTTGACTAATTGGCATGAATAGGGTCCTCACTCCTCAGCATAAAGGTTTGTGCCATTAAGTCCCTTTCAAATAAAAACAGATGAATGAGACAATGTTTTCATTCCTTTGTGTTTATTTCATTCTGTAACTGCTATTGCATGAGCAAAAGAAAGCTGTATGTATTTCCATACCAACTTCAAAAGGCTGTGTATCCTCACTGTTAACAAAATGGCATTAAACTGGTGGAAATGCAAAATGACCATATAGTGCTTTTGGGGAGGCTAGAACCCTTACAGGAACTGAAATCTGTGAGTTAGGCTTAGTGTTTTAGGGTTGGTTTTATGCAGTACACACTGTGGGTGCACATCACATTGTAGATGCACATCATATGTAAATGGCTAGTAGCATTAATAATAGCTGATTTTCAATTTTATTGCTCTTTACCCATTATAACTTAAACAATGACGTTTTCATAAGAGGAAAGGCAATTAAAAATAACATGACAATTTAAGAGTACAGACTGTTACTCTGAGCAAGTCTTTGACAATATTCTATCTCATCTTTTTCTTAGACTGGTCCTCAGGAGGGAGCACCTAAATTTTTAATATATGAAAGAACAGTAACACTATCAAGCACCTGTGGTGTTTTTGTTTTTTTTTTTAACATTTTTCATTACTTTATCTTAGAGACAAGCTCATGAAATGTTATTTTGTAATACAAAATCCTTGCTTGCTGGAGTTTGCACTTGTTAAATTTTAACTGAGGTTTTTAGTCCATAGAAAGAGCCAAAAGAAATCTCTCATAGAATGGCTGCCAGGCCTATAACAAAAGCCACCCTGCTGGTTGTAGCTCTAATAATAAACTCTCTTTTATATGGGTCTTTCAAAGTTACAGGGTCACAAAGTGCCTTGAAATAAATTTCAAAAGAACAGCAAAATCTGGAATCACACCCAAACTCTTTATGTTCATGACTGTAACAGAGTTAATAAATTGTGGGTATAAATGAATAACTGCAGTGTCCTGCCTGGAAACCCAGTGGTGAGTATGTTCATCAGATAAAAATGACCAGGTGTTGACGGGCAATAGAAAGGAATTATGAGCAGCAGGGGTTTAGTGTCGATATCTCAGGAATTTAACTCATGTCTTCGGAAGCAGGCTAGGGCCCTGCCAGCATTAGCCATAGAGATGGATGTCCTGTGTGGACTATTATTGCAGAGCTGGGAGTAGGGAAGCGAGAGGCTGAGCTGATTATCATATTCATGAGTTTGTCAACAGTAATTGGCCAAATCCTTGTTAAAATAGAAACTGTAAGAATCTTTATTATTCATTTTCTGGGATTATCTCCTATGCAAGTCTTTAGGGTGTCCAGCCATTACCTACCTCATATAAAGATGATTAATTTTTATTCTTTTATTTTTTCTTTCTCCTATTCATAGGGAGAGAGAACAAAGATCCTGAATGGATGACTTAGAAGAGTTTGGAGAGAGGAGGTGGAGGAAGATGGCAGAGGAGATGCCTCCCTGAGTCAACTCTCCTGGTGGTTTCAGGTGAGAGTGGGCTTATTGGATCTCTTCCGTGTGGAGTCCCTGCGCAGATAAGCAGTGCAGGGCAAGCAGCAAAGAGGTGAATTGCTGGATTGGGAGTGTAGCCCAGAACTACGGTGTCAGCCAGAAAAAACTCAGAGCAGCAGCTGACACAGCACCATCTGCGACCTGCGGAGCCAGGTCCGTGGCTTGTGTCCTGAGAGACAGAAACCAATCCCTCCCCCATGAAAGGCTCCTGTGCCCAATTTGTGGGGAGTTTGTGTGTCTCGCAGACAGTGTGGTGAGGCGTGGATTCCCAAGTGGAATTTAGCAGCCAGAAATGGGAGACTTTTGGACTTGGTTTGGGGTGTCAGGGATCCAGGCATTCGGACAGAAACTTAAGGGGAAGGGACTCTGCTTAGGAACTGATCCATCCTGTAATTTTGGAAGTCTGTGTGGAGCTGCACTGATGCAGTGACCCACAGGGTGAATCAGTTCCCCTTCTACAAACACTGAAAAATCTTTTGAACATTCTGCTGTGGTGGTGGCGGCAGCAGAGGTAGCTGCGGCCCCTTCCCCATTGGAAATAAACTGAACACAGAACGCGCAAGGGGCACTCAAGCTCTTTTCCCTTGGACCACAACGGTTTTCTGTTTGAGGGGAAATTAGGAGTTGAGTGAAAGTCTGGCGAAGTGTGAACTTGTGTCCCAAGTTTGGAGGACAAGATAGGAGTGGGCGGCCAGCCAGGAACCAGATGTAATGTAAAACCCACAAAATGGCGTTTCCATAACACCTCTTCCAGAAGCGCAGAGAACTCAGTCTGATCTGCAGCCAGTCATCCGGCATCTGAAGTTAATTCAAGACACCCAGCACTTTGTGGGAACTGTTGTAGGGAGAATCTGGGCATCCTGCCAGCAAAGATTCTCCTTTTATACATATATATATATATTTTTTTTTCTTTTTCCTTTCTATTTTTGGTATTAGTGCAGGGACCACTCACAACGCCACTTGATGTCTAGAAAGTATACTACAGCATAATTATATATATATGTATATTTTTTAAACTGGAACCCCACCACATTGAAAAAAGGACTTGCTTGTATATACTTAAAAAAAAAGTCATTTTCTTATTTGTGCCCTCCTTTTCCTTTTTTTTAATTTTTAATTTTTTATTATATGTATATTTTGATTTTCTTTCTTCTTTGGTTGTTTGTTTTCCTATTTGTTTGCTCTATCATTTTATGACCAACATTTCTGTGGTTATCTTTTATTATTACTATTTTTTTTTCTTTTTCTTTCTTCTTTCTTTCTTTTTTGATCTGTTAGTTGGCTGGTTTGCCTGTTGTTCTGTTTACTTCTTTGTCTGTTTGTTTACTTGTGGCCGAGTGTCTGGGCATTGGTGTGCTTGTATGTCTGATAGCATTTTAGTCTGTTTATTTGTCTGCCTGGTTTCAATGTATTTTGTACTTTGCTAAATCCCCAGGTTGGCTATATTCCATAACTAAAATTTTCACATTCAATAAGAATTTGGAGGAATAGCGGATGAGAGCTGACTGGAGCTAGCTTTCAACATAAACTTCAGCTCAGAGAGAGAGACAACTGCCAGAAGAACCCAACGAAGCTGAAAGTGGGGAGCTGAACTGAGAGTAGAGACAGATAAGCACATGTCCTCCCCACTGAGGCAAACCACGACTTCAAGAAAACAAATTCCAGGCTTAGATTAAACCAAAGCGGAATATTCTACAGCTCCCATTGAGTGCTTGAGGCAGATAGGCTTCAACTATCTCTGCTGGCTGGCCACAAAGAGTGGTCACCGAGTGGAGAAGGCATTGACATTACTGGGACTCTGTCAGGCACAAAACCCTGATGAACTCATTGACTTTACCTGGACTCTCTGGTAGGTACAAAATCGTGACTCACTTGCCTATTGGACAGGACTGGGTTACAGAGTCTGGGTCAACAGAAATTGGTAGTGGGGTTAACTGAGACTGAGGTTACCAGAGTCCAGCGATGAAGGGTGAGTAAGGAGGGGAAAGAGACATCAGCCTCCTTACTCCAAATCGTCTACTGAACAGGCCTTTCTGACTTCTCAGAGCATCAGAGCGAGCGACATTTATACCACCAGTAGACTCCTATTATTTAGTTGCTAGAGACCTTGTGATCTTTCCAATCAGGGAGTGGGTACTGACTGGGTCAATAGGTTTGGATCTCTTGATTGGACAAATCAACTGTCAGTCGAGGGAGAATCTCTGATGCTCTTGGGATTTTCTCAGGCCCAAATTGTCTTCAGGTGGAACATTCTCCAGTTGTCACTGAGTGCCTAAGACAGTCAAGCCTCAGTTCCCCTCGTTGGTGGGGGTTGAAGAGCAGTAACTGAGTGGAACTGGCACTGGCTCTACTTTGATTTTGGCAGACACAGAGCCCTGCCACATTCACATATTGGGCAACTAGGTCACAGCCCTCTGGGGTCTCCAATGACTGGGTGTGACAAAGGTACAAGGTGGAGTAAGAGGCATCAACCTCCCTCGAATACTTTATTTGCTGGGCAGGTCCCTCTGACCCCACAGAACACCGGAGCAGGTAATACCTGAGCTGCCAGAAGATCCCTGCTGTACAGTTACCAGAGACCTCTCGAACTCCCCCACCTGAGAATTGTGTTGACTGGGACACTTGTCTTATATCATTTGAACTGGGCCAATCACTTGAGAACTATCTAAAGTGATCCCCTGGGGGTGTGGTTGAGGGAAGGTGTGGTTTTCCTTTCACAACCATCTCCAGTAAGGGGAGGGGTGACTTAATCGCTCTTATTTCTCCACAGCCAAGATCTTAACCCAGAGTAATTGATTTTCTAAGGTAGAACAGATACCAGCTGTAAATAAGATAGAGATAAGCAGGCCTCCAGGCTCTCAGACCGTAGCATTATACACATCCTTGGCAAAGTTCTAGGGGAAAAGATACAGACACTAGTCCCAGCCTTTGCCTGAAAAGGCCAGTAAAATATTACTCCCAGAGCTCCCAATACAACTTCCTCCTACCAGCTCACCTAGCCAAGTGGAGTAAATCCAGCATGGGGTAGAGTCAGCGGAAAAACTCTGGTAGTAGGAATAACCAGAGTAGAGCAACCCCCCCAAGGAAGGATGTAGCAGAAGTACCTGAATATCCAACCCATAAAGAGATGGCTGAGATGACAGAAATTGAATTCAGAATGTGGATAGTAAACAAGATTAATAGAATGGAAGAAAGGAAAGAGCTAGAACTTCAAGAAATGATTTTTAAAAAGTCTCAAGAAATTATTCAAAAGATGTCCCAAGAAATTATTCCAAAGATGACTCAAGAATTCAATGATTTCAAAGATAAAAAAATCAAAGACTTTGAAACTTTGAGACAAGAGGTCGCAGCCCTCAAAGATTTGAAAAACACGGTGGAATCTCTTCGTAACAGAGTGGAACAAACTGAAGAAAGGATGTCTGACATTGAAGACAAAGCCTTTGAACAAGCCCAAGAGTACAAGGATGAAAAAAAATGGAAAATAAGAACAGATCTTTCTCTTAGAGAGCTCTGGGATAATTTGAAGTAATATTTGCCTTATAGGAACGCCTGAAAGTGATGAAGCTGCCTCACAAAACACAGAGGCTCTTCTTCATGAAATTTTGAAAGAGAATTTCCCAGACATGCCAAGAGATTCTGAAATTCAGATAGCAGATAGTTTCAGAACCCCAGCACGACTCAACCCAAACAAGACATCCCCCAGGCACATCATAATTAAATTCACTAAAGTTAATATGAAAGAAAAAATTCTGAAAGCAATTAGATGCAAGAAAACCATAACCTACAAAGGAAAGAGTATTAGAATGACTGCAGATCTTCCTGCTGAAATATTTCAGGCCAGAAGAGGATGATCAGCAACTTTAATCTCCTAAAGCGAAACAACTTCCAACCTGGGATCCTATATCCAGCTAAACTGAGTTTCATCTATGATGGATAAATTAAATACTTTAATGACATCCACATGTGGAATAAATTTACCATAACTAAACCAGCTGTGCAGGAAATTCTCAAACCTATCCTCTGTAATAATCATTGCAATCCCTCACTACAAAAGTAAACTCACACAGAAACTTTTGATCAAATTCCAACCTCCACAGTGGCAAAAGGATTAAAAATGTCTACTGGACTTTGAGCAATTCGAGGACCAATATCTCACCAGGTCTTTCAATAATTTCAATCAATGTGAATGGCCTAAACTGCCCTTTAAAGAGGCACAGATTGGCTGATTGGATATGGAAACTCAAACCAGATATCTGCTGTGTCCAAGAAACACATATTACTTTAAAAGATAAATACAGACTCAGGGTGAAGGGATAGTCTTCCATATTCCAAGCAAATGGAAACCAGAAAAAAAGAACGTGTTGAGATCTTATTTGCAGATAGGTTAAAACAAACAAAAATAAGCAAAGATAAGGATGGACATTTTATATTTGTTAAGGGTAATACCGAAGATGATGAGATTTCAGTTATCAGTATCTATGCACCCATAGGTGCAACCAGAATGCACCTCAATTTATAAGAGATACTCTAACAGGCATGAGCAACTTGATCTCTCCCAGCTCTATCATAGTCAGAGATTTTAACACTCCCTTGACTGTGTCGGATCAGTCTTCCAATAAGAAGCTTAGCAAGGAAATTTTAGATTTACATTTAACTATTCATCTTTTGGACCTAATTGACATCTACAGAACATTTCATCCAAACAAATCTGAATACACATTTTACTCTTCAGTCCATGGAATATACTCCAAAATCGATCACATCTTAGGCCATAAATCCAACCTAAGCAAAAATTTAAGAGAATAGAAATTATTCCATGCATCTTCTCAGACCACCGTGGAATAAAGGTTGAACTCAGTAACAACAAGAATCTGCAGCCTCATACAAAAACATGGAAGCTAAATAACCTTATGCTGAATGACAGATGAGTCAGAGATGAGATCAAGAGGAAAATTACCAAATTTTTAGAATACAATGACAATGAAGACACAAGTTGTCAGAACCTTTGGGACACTGCAAAGGCAGTCCTAAGAGGGAAATTTATAGCTCTGCAAGCCTTCCTCAAGAGAACGGAAAGAGAGGAAGTTAACAACTTAATGGGACATCTCAAG